CAGCTCGACGAATTAGCGCTGGTGACAAAGGACAACCTGCCTCGCGGGCACTGGCTATTGGAGCGAGTGGTGACCGTGTTCCCTGGCGCCGACAGCCGACTGCAGGTGGTCAAAGTGGCCACCGCCACTGGTCGGAAATTCGGAATAGGCGGTCGGTCTCTGGTCTCTGCCGTCTCGAGCGCGACGGTGACGGACAGTAAATGGACTCAGAGTGGTAATGTGCGCGTGTGAGACGACTGAGGTGAGTCGTTTACGACCCCTCTGTGCCGCCGGCGAGTAGTGTCGGAGTCTGGCCATCTATTAGTGTTTACTGCGTCCGCCATTCGCGGTGTTAACGTGTGCGTGTGCGAGAATGAGTCGTTCATTCTGTGCGCCGGTCATATGTGTTTGGTGTTTAGCCATTAGCCAACAGCTGTGAGCCGTCCGACAGTCGCCAGCGTTCACACTGTCGCAGTGTCGCTCCTGGCTCATTTAGCCGGTTGGTCTTGTACGAGTTAGAAGTTTACAGCCTTAGAGTGTAGCAGCCTTAGATCGGGACCGACGCGCGGCGCAGCCGACGTAGTTTACAGTCTTAGCTTTAGTGGTCGTTTATTGCTGTACGATACAGACAGAGACACTGCCTGCGAGCAGCTGTTTGTTGTTTCGCTGTTTTCTCTCTTACGTTTAGAATTTCCGCGAGCGAGGCGAAAATCCGGGCCGGCCATGTTCGAGAGAAAACGCACTGTGCCGTGGAGGAGACGGCAGCGATCGGCGGGCTCAGCCGAGCCTCGCCGCCCACGTGGTGTACTGGGGCCCGCGTGGTCATCTGGGGCACATGTGTGCGATGACCGGCCCGACGCATGCCGGCTCGGCAGTTCGCGACGCGACGACGACGGCGACGCGGCTCCGCCGGCGCAACGGCGCCGGCGTCGTACGATACGATTAACGTGCATTGTGTGGTGAATATTCAAGAAATAGACATTCATCAAAGAAGTCTTTTGGTCCTCCGGTTAATGAAACGATTCGATCAGATACGCAATTATTAGTGAACTTGACGATTACACGAACACTTTGGTCTGCCGTGCTGGATCAGAGTGAACGATCACGATTCACACGAAGAGTAAAAGTTTCTCATTTTATGATCTAATTTAATAGGGACACATAAACAATCGGTGCACGCATCAGTATAGTATTAACCTTAAGTATTTACCTTAAGTAAAGGTCACGAAGGTGAAAACAAACTCTGACAAGCGTTATCAAGCATCAGATCAATAAGATCGTGTACCTGTGCCGAGCTGTGCCAGGTCCTGTGCGGTGGCGGTGAGCTGCTGGTCAAGTGCTCCTGCTGGCGTCAGGAACCGTAGCGCCTACTTGACGTCGGAGCCGGCTGCCTGTTGGCCGTGGCCGAGCCGGTGGGTCGCTGACACGGCCAGCCGTAGCGCCGACTGCATTTGACGCTCCTGGCGGCCACACAGACAAAACACTATGACCCAACACAGTGATAGGGCACACGAGGACCGCTGGTGGCAGTGTGACAGAGCAAACACAACCGAAAGTACACAACAGAAAGTACTAAGGATAAATATCTCGATACCTTACGAACTCGCCCTTACGAACAGAGGTACCTTACGATACCTTATATACCTTATACCTTACCTTATACCTTACCTCGATACCTTACGAACAGAGGTCTCGCCCTCCCGCAAACTTCGTTCCCCAAGGGTCGTGTTTAAGGGGGTTTTGGGGGGTTAAAAGGCCAATATTTTCCCAAATCGGCGTTTTTGGAAGAAATATCGCTATATCTCAGAACTTATAACAGCTAGAACAAATTTTAGGAAGCCATTCAAAAGCTTGGAACAAGCCCAATCGAACCCTATACTTAACTTTTGCTTAACCTGAACCTCTTAAGTCCTGTAGGTCACAAAAGGTCACAAGGTCGCGATTTTACTCATGCAGTTTTTTTGCTTATAACTTTTGATCTATTTAAGAGAAAGATAAACGGCAAACGCCATCGTGCTCAGCTTGCTCTTGCGCATCGAATGATATACAATTTTACTAGCTAAGTGTACTTAAGAAGTTAAGCACTACTTAAACACTTACATACTTAAGATGGCCAAAATGCTTAATATTGCATAGCATTCGATTCGTCTCGTCGAGCTGAACACAATGAGCCTACGCTAAAAGCTGTAGCTTAATTAGGTGCAAAGTTATAGGCGAAAACGTTACTTGACCTTAAGGTCATTGGGGGACCCACCCATAAGTTAAGGTCATAAGGCTAAAGTGGGTCTTAATTTCATTAAAGGTGACCCATAAGATAAAAAAATGCTAAAACTGAGCTGAAAACCATTTGGGATTGAGAGAGTCTTCAAGCTTTGGCCTATTGACAATACACCATAATCACCATTGGACAATACACCATTGGTCATGACCATAAAATGTCTTTGAATGACCTAGTTAGGCGCGGGAACCGGGGTCCGGGGGGGGGGGGGGCTAGCGGGGGCTGAGCCCCTCCAACTTTTCGGCTGGGGGGCTCATTATGTATTTGAGCCCCCCCCCCCTCCTCACAGCTGGAGGAATCAAAATCGGAAATCTACCAACATAATTTCATAGATTCATACAGAGGCACAGGAACCGGGGGAGGGGGCAGTGAGGGAAGCTTGCCCCCACAACTCTGGGGCTGTGGGAGCAGTGCCCCACAATTTTTCATGAGACCAGGAACTGTTAGGGCAGCTTGTCCTCCCCAAATTAGGGGTTGTGGGTCACAAAGCATGTAAGTTAAAAATCCACCTTCAATTTGTCCAGTTGGAGGGGCTCAAATAAATTAAGAGCCCCCCCCCCAGCCAAAAAGTTAGAAGGGCTCGGCCCCGCTAACCCCCGGTTCCCGCGCCCGGCGCCACTGCCTATAACCTACACTTATAAACATGGTGTTTTCCCCTAAACTGGATTCAGATTGGGATCCTGAACACAAGTACATACTTCAAACAGGTTAGTGCACAATGTAGGGCAGCCCTGCATTTTGTTGAATTGATCAGGAGCCAGAGTACCTACATCATTAATTGACCCCGAGGCCTGAGATCTCAGTCGGGGAAACTATGGTAAAATCTGCTATTTTTAGCAGTCTGCTATTTTTAACAGAAATCTGCTAAAAATGGGTGCGCATGTGACGTCATCGTACCCAAATATAGCAGATTTGGGTACGGCCCCATACAAAAGCAGATCTGCACCCTAATTGAAGCAAATGCACATCAAATGCCTGGCAGATTCATGATGAGAATAGTGCTGAGAGTGATCTCTGCTATTTTTGTTCAGATCTGACTATTTTCAAATTCATTATTTGAAAATAGTCGGAACTGAACAAAAATAGCAGAGGACATTCTCAGCACTATTCTCATCATGAATCTGCCAGGCATTTGATGCGCATTTGCTTCAATTAGGGTGAAGATCTGCTTTTGTATGGGGCCGTACCCAAATCTGCTATATTTGGGTACGATGACGTCACATGCGTACCCATTTTTAGCAGATTTCTGCTAAAAATAGCAGACTGCTAAAAATAGCAGATTTTACCATAGTTTCCCCGACTGATCTTGTAAAGAAATAGCAAGTAGCGGCTAGCCACATTTCAAGGGTAGTCGTAAAGCAGGCGTAACACTTCTTTTAGCAACCAAGGAGAGGTGCTGTAGGTTAGGTTGTAGGTTTTAGGTTTGAGGTGGTAGGTTTTAGGTTGTAGGTTGTAGGTTGTAGGTTTTAGGTTGTAGGTTGTACTGGTTAGGTCAGGTTTGGTTAGGTTTGGTTAGGTCTATTTTGGTTTGGTTTGATTAGAAAGCATCTCTGGGTATAGTGACCATTCGGCCCCGCTCCTTGGTTGCAAAAAGAAGTGTGACGCCTGCTAAGTCCGGCCCAAACAATCGCATGGCAAATCGGTACTATGCAATACCAGTATCCAACAAATAGATGTCTACAAATAATTTCCACTTACCTCACAGACTTCAAAAGGCTCCCAGCACAAAAAAAAACACAAAATAGTACCACCCAAAGCTTTATCTCTTCCAAATCCCAACACCGACACCGCCACGTGGTGAGCCGTGCCGCGCCGATAACACCGCAACAAAAAACAGTGTTGTTGCAACTACACAAAACTTCATCATACTCTAATTCACGGGTTTCTAAGATACATGATATAATTAATTTATTTTTACACTTTTTAAAAAATAAAACAAACGTCTATTTTGATCGCTTTACATTCCACAGACCACACTATAAATCATATCATGTTACGTTTTTGCTGCATGCCCGCGCTAGCCCGCGCTGATCAAGGCGTGCGCAGCCGAGCTTCAACACAGAGCCAGCCGATGGTAGCGCCGTCTGTGGCAGATATTGGAACTACGAACCATCAAATTTTTTAGTTTAGAGATAGATGGCGCCTAAGGTGGACAATTTTTGAGTCCACCGAAACAGACTTGTTCTTTCGGATACGTTTACGTCCAGCTAAAAGGTGTTCTGTGCGTTTATTTTTACGTGGACTTTTTGGGTCCACCAAAACAGAATGTCCACAGTAAATCAGAAAAAAATCTTGAAAAGTCCACCTAAACCAGAATTTGGAAAGCATCCCGTGCCACAATCTTTCCGCGGCACGTTATATGCTGCTGAACGTGGCCTACGAACTCGGCCACCTTTTCCTCCGGCACCTCACGACAGATCATCATCAGAAGCTTGTCTGATGTCCGAAGGAAAAGGTGGAGAACGTCGATCACAATCCGATCGACCGGAATGGCAGGTAGAAGAGGGTTGTGGGCTATACCTGGATCACCAACTTTAAAGCCCTTCCTGACTTTGCCCCCCTGTCGAAAATAATTGCACTTTTTGGATTCACAGTAAAAACATGCATGATCGGATGTTGCGTCCTTCATCCCACACGATAGGAGAATGAATTTATAATCTGCACCAAAGAAGAATACAACAGAAAGATGAGAGCCGTCGACATCTAATCCGTCGCGTTGGATTTCTTCAATTCCATTGTTGAGTGGTCTAAGGAGTGTCTGTAGAGTTGACCAGCATTCTTTTGCTGTGCTGATCTCGAGGAGTCTCGGCTGTCGTTGTGCTGGTGTCGGCTCATCAGGGAGGCTCACGGAAAGATTCAGGAAACTCCGGTACTTCCCCACCGGTGCACCATCGCCTGAAACAGTTTTTTTCATTTAGCGAAATGTGGTATCATTTTCATACTTGCTATTTAGTAAGTGTTCTTAGAACAAATTAGATGCTTTATTATTGGCCATCCAAGTAAAAGCAAATAAAACACACCCTTTACTTAGCACAAGCCTGACTCCTGAGATATGTATTAATCAATCAGGCAGCCAAATATCACTTTCGTAAGCGGAATTCCCCATTGGCCTCTGGTTGAAATGATGCAGACCCGGAGCATGGCGGTCAATTGGTCAATTGCGTACGAGGTCACATATCAGCCACATGCCCTGCAAAATGCATAGTTTTGAAAATCCGTCAGCATACCTGATATCTTCACGCGGACCGAATTGTCAGGTCCGTTTCTGACGGAGGGTCTCATAGCCGTAAGCAGGTCACGGAGCTGCCTCCGAGCACCATGATCAGTGTCAGTGATGGCGATTTGTTCGTTGAGCCTGGAAATAAAATTTAAGTCAAAATTGGCAAATTCCAACCGTCCCACTGACAGTTAACACGTCATATTCACCTGGTTGTGAAGTGTCTGCTGACATGAAACAATTATAAAGCAAATCGCGCATACAATATATCGGGTCGGCAATTCACTTCAGGATATCAATGCTTAAGCGTGATGGTGCATGCATTTTGACACTAACAAAGACTCGGCTTTTTAACCTATGCAAAAACATCTCCCCATCGTATAAAAAAGGAAATTGACAATAAAACAGTTTCGCTCCGAACTTACTGTTGCCGGAAGCGTCGAACGTTGTGCTGTCTCGGCAGGGTTGGTGTTGTGGCGGCTAATTTGGCATACTTCCGCATAGAAATACCAGAGCTGTCCAGAACTTCAGATATTGTGCTTGCATTTGGCGATGGTGACGAATCCGGACTTGAAGAAATTTTGATACCGTAGTAATCTGCTTCGTCTATGAGCTTCTGCTTTATACGTCGTTTGTGACGTTCGCTGTAGGGGCGGCGCGCCGATCCGCCGGCTGGAGCTGTGGCGGGGCGCGCCGATCCGCCGGCTGGAGCTGTGGCGGGGCGCGCCGATCCGCCGACCGGAGCTGCAGCGGGGAGCGCCGATCCACCGGCTGAAGCTGTGGCGGGGCGCGCTGAGACGTCGGCTGGAGCTGGCACAAGCTGTGCTATGGCGCTGGCATCGCCTTCAATGCCAGATACATTGATATTTACACGTGATTTAGATACAGACTTGAGAAAATTAGTTCTACACCTACCACCACGACTGGATGCCCTGTACGCTTTCTGCAGATGTGTTAATTTTACCCTGAGAAGTTCTCTTTCCCTGCCAGTAATAATTGGGTTGACACAGAAATGTTCAGCACAGTATTTACAGAGAGATATTACAGTCAGGTCACAGACAAATCCAGTTGTTTTGCATACGTTAACTAACCATTCCTTATTCACACTCAAAACGTTTTTCTGTGCTAAATATACATTCCTACTGGGCATACAACACCACACACCAGCTCAACAATATCCTGAACAAGAAAAAGCAGACCTATACTAAAGATAAGTGATTACATTTTCACCGTTCTCTTTGTCCTGATGGTGGTACACTACATGGTGGCACGCTCACCCACACGCCTCGCCCTCACCACCTTCACCACCAGCTCCATTCCGTGATGACGGCGCACTTCCACGAACTCGCCACCACTTTGAACATAATGTTTGTCGGAGCGCAGCTTTCTGATGGTGACACGACTTGACACAACCATGTTGGCATCACCCTCCTCGGAAATGAAGCGGATGTTCCAGCTGTCATCATAGCTTGTGCAGTATGTTTTCAATATATCCTCAAGAGACTTGTTGTTGAGAAATGGTGCGTCCTTCTTGCGAATTTGGAGTCTGATGGTCTTGGTGGCTTTTTCTCTAACAGGAAAACGAAGCGATTTGAAAATACTAGTCTGTAGCTGGTCTGCAATTAATATGAGGCTCTGATTTGGGCACTTGTGTGACTTGTAGCGTCCATAAAACCGAGCAGGAGGTATCCCATTCATCTGAAAAGAAAACAAATGTGCACATTAAACCTCATAAAAATTGAAAGCGCCCCCTTCATGAGTATCCAATTGTCTCTGGAACTGCTATTTCTATTGAATTGACCATACCATACCACAGCACTGCTGTGTACTGTGCAGAGCAATTATTGGATGCATGAATGCTGTTTGATTGAGCAAACTGAGGAAAGACATCCAATAATTGACACAATATATAGGTATATATTGGTTTCTCAAGGCAGAGCCAGCGGAACACCCACATAGACATATACCTATAGATCCTCATTTAAACACAGGTTCCTAATGAATTGTTCAAAACAATAACAGAGTTGTTTAACGGGTTAACATGATTCTGGATAACAATATGTTTGGTGTCCCCTCAAACACACAAATACACCAAGAAACTGACATCATTTTACCTCATGTTATCATTTTTTTAGCAGGAGGTATCCCATTCATCTGAAAAGAAAACGAATGTGCACATTAAACCTCATAAAAATTGAAAGCGCCCCCTTCATGAGTATCCAATTGTCTCTGGAACTGCTATTTCTATTGAATTGACCATACCTCTGGGATATGTGTACTGTGCAGAGCAATTATTGGATGCATGAATGCTGTTTGATTGAGCAAACCGAGGAAAGACATCCAATAATTGACACAATATATAGGTATATATTGGTTTCTCAAGGCAGAGCCAGTGGAACACCCACATAGACATATACTTATAGATCCTCATTTAAACACAGGTTCCTAATGAATTGTTCAAAACAATAACAGAGTTGTTTAACGGGTTAACATGATTCTGGATAACAACAATATGTTTGGTGTCCCCTCAAACACACAAATACACCAAGAAACTGACATCATTTTACCTGACACATCAATTAGGCAACTATTTAAAGAAGAAAATGGTTGAAAGTAAATGAAAAACAGATGTTTGATTCTGTGTGATTATATAGCCCGTGTAATCATTTTTTTTATTAAGAAATTTAGTACGAATGCTTGAATGGGTGGCTGTGGGCCCCAGTGCCCGCTAATCAGAGCTTGTTGCGAAGCAACAAGAACCCACCACCCGACCACAACGTCCTCTCCAGTATCACAGTATCACTGATAGTCATGATCATGTGAATCCAATCATGTTTGAGAGGGGAGACAGCATGGAAGCAAACTTTTTTGCTGTACCCACCCAAATTTTCTCAGCAGCTTAATATAATACAACAAAAAAGACTTGGTACTTCGTCCATCAGACGTAACTAAAGCAAAAAAAAAAAAATGTAACACTCCTCTGATAGTTTAGAGATAATAATATTTGGTATGCTCTAAATTCGAAATAATGTCAATGAACGCTTCAAACAGTGGGAAATATACGTACCGTTGGGCTTCAATCCATGCCCTCACTTAGTACCAAGGTAAATTAAAACAAAACCAGCACAAGTAGTTAATTTGAAATCAAGAAACGACTCAGACAGTTCTATCTTGTCGCCACACACAACGAACTACTGTGAAAGTACGCAAAGTTCTTTTTAGAATATTGAGTTCATTTTTCCTGTAAAAATGAGCTACCTAAAATATTTATTTTTTATTGAAACCTTTTATGTTTAAGATTGAACAAAAAAAAAAAAACATTGAAACTCAAAAATATAACAGCCAAAATGACTTTTGATCTACCTATATAAAAATTCGCGTACTACAGGCCATAGTTTTAGCGCGAAAACAATAATGCGCAAGAGATGCATCATGCGCGCCATTTACGTAGACACACCAAGGCTTTATTAACGCCCAAGAACATGGTGTTTTCTTCTTCGGTGCCCCAATGTCCGCTACTACATGGCCCGTTTACCGTAACGATTGCTGGTATATGGGCTTTGAGAACTGCCAATAGCATCCTCCCCAAAAATTTGGGATGGGACCCTTTTAAATGTGGCTGGCTAAAGTTAGGACGGGTCTTCCTATCTTTAGCCACACACCATTCTTTTGGAATTGAGCAATGAATAGGACATCTTGCCTAACTTAAAGGGACAGTATCATCGAAAAAAAATCCATGTATGGAGCTGATTTTTTTTTTTACTAGCATTTCTTATTTTTCTGAATCAGAAAAACATAGTTTGAGGACCGAACTCGGTGAAAAATATTGCAACCACATTTCATTTTCATGATTCATTTTCATGAGCGAACCACCACTATACAAGCATGGCCGCCAGTTTGGAAGCATGCAAAATTACTACAGAACTGGCGCAGATAATACATTATTGATGCTACGCTTACGCGGTCGTTCTTCTGATTGAGTTGTCCTTAGGGAGAGGTAGCCTTAGGTATTGCCTATAAAAATATAACGTGACAATTGGAGGGAGTGACAATTGGACGTGACAATTGACAATGGGAGAAAATATCACGTGACAATCACGTGATAAACGTCATACATTGGAGGGAGATTGTGATTCAAGCTGGAGGAATTCCTTTGTTGAGCCGCTAGAATCCGAAGGAAACAGCGGAAATTGCCTACGACTATTTAATGAATTTAACGGTGATGAATAAGTGCGAAAAACGTTTTGGCTTTATAAAATTTGATGAAATGACCAGGGTAAAAATTTTATTACTGGCGGTCAATTCAAAACGGCGCAAACATTTAAACAGTGAAGATAGTGAAGCACGATTCAAAGTGTGGTACACCTTTCGTACTTTGAGCGGCGTTAGCGGGATAACGGTGTGGAGTTTCGAGGATCGGTCTTCACTCTTCAGTTCCCGGACCAGAAAGGTGGGGCCTATGCAATGTCAAATTTCATCAAAATGGTGATACTGTCCCTTTAAGCCATCGTGGTAGTTTAAAAAATACAAATGCAGGTTCTTAACCATTTTTTAATCATCAGAACACAGCCATACAGAAGCATTGATCACAGAACAGTTGGCATTGAGAATGTGACTGCAAATTGAGATCCTTTCCATTTTGAACACTCTGAATACAGTCAAACAGTAGCATTGATTGAGCAACACTTGTCTGCACACAAATTGACTCCATTCATGGCAGCAAAAGTAGGTATGTCAGTGACTCTAAACCACATGGTCATAATAATGCCAGAAGCATTCAGACAGTTGCCAGATGCGGCTCCGCGTCGATGTCGAAGTCGACAGACCATACCAAACCGCGGCGGTCGGTCGTGATCTTCTCGACCTTGGTGATCACCTGCTCGCGCTCGATGATGCTGATGTCTTCTGTCATGCCCTAGGAAAAACATCAGGATTTTTCTGATGGTCTGATGGTGCATGGAAATTGGCCCACTGGTCTGATGGTCTGGTGGTTTCTGATGGTCTGATGGTTTCTGATGGTTCAGGGGTCTGGTGGTTTGTGATGGTCTGATGGTTTGTGATGGTCTGATGGTTTGTGATGGTCTGATGGTTTCTGATGGTCTGACGGTTCTGAAACAGTCGCGCCATCAATTGATGGCGCGACTGTTTCAGGAATTCTGATAGTCACTGTGCTCCTTGGCGGTGTTCTGTGGTTCCTGTTGATCCTGGAGGCGCTCCTTTCAATCACTTTCTGAGCCCGTGGTGATCCTGGTGATAAAAGGTACGATTATGAACACCAATATATTTATACCACCACCAATTGGCGTACAATGAAATACAGTCCACGCTAGGCCGCAACTGGACGTTATCTTACAGCGCTTACAGCTCTTTGGCTTTGGTGCCGAGCTTCGACTTTGAGCGGTTCAGGTCCGCGATTTTTTCACTTAGGGACTTCCGGACCTTCTTCTTGAGGTCGGCCTCCTCCATGCTCTCGTTTCGCGACCTAAGGTGGTCACGATACATGTCTGCAACAGAGAATGGTCACAGACTATGATTATTTACATGTAAATAATCAACAAATAATCATCTAAATAATCAATCAACAGCATAAGAGTTAACTCTTATG